CCACGAGAATAAACGAAGTTCGGCATGTTTTTTTTTTTCTGCAGGGAGAAATTTGAAGATCACGTGACATAGACGCCAGCCATTGGAATGAATGAAATGCAGTTGGAGGTCAACCAATCACAGAGCTTGAGAACTAATCACGGGGCTTGTCAAACAGAGCACATGTAAACCATAGCTGGGGATTCTGGGTAGTGTACTGCCATCCTTTACTCCGAANTCCAACACACACGAACAAGCACATGACCAATGAGGGCACGAGATAAGTTTGTGCACAGATGGAAGACTGACAGGCAGGTAGGCCATCCAGTTATTTTAGGCTAAAATAACTGGATGGCCTACCTGCCTGTCAGTCTTCCATCTGTGCACAAACTTATCTCGTGCCCTCATTGGTCATGTGCTTGTTCGTGTGTGTTGGAGGAGGGGCTCTGTAAGGAAGTAGCAGATTTCTTCCGGCTGTGTATTTTCAAATTCTAGCGCACTCGAGCTGGTTTCTCCAAAATTACCTACCCCACCTTTAAGTTCCACTCAGTTAACTTTAGCTCCCCTTGATGGCCTTCATCCTTTTGGAGGCCTGTGATAGTGATGATGTAACGACCCAAATATTCAAACATTTAAGTATTTCGAACCCACATGGGAGCCAGAACACAGGTGTGCTCCTTGAAGCCTGCATTGTGTTGGGCTGCTTTCCAAACAAGAGCTGAAACATCCATGTTTGGCTGGAGTCTCTTAAACATTGCAATTTCACAGATTTCCCTCTCAAGGGTGTGTCAGGGTTGGGAGGGTAAGCGTTTGATTTAGTGTTCCTTGATATACCGAACTCCACTCATTCATTTAAAGAACTTGATTTCACTTTGAGAACGGAAATGGAGCAGACACATGTGTAATGTAAACTTTCACACATATGGAACAGGGCCAGCAATGCCTAACGGATATTAGTAACTTCCAAGTAGATTTACAAATAAAAACACACTGTTTGAGCTTTTGAGACAAATACGTTTTCTACCTTTCGTCCATCATGGCCATGCATCCCAGGGGGGCCCATGACACCAGGCTCTCCCTAAAAAAGGACAAAGTGGGTTACATTCACCAACAGAACTCTCATGGCTGTGTTGTCTAAGAATCAAACAGTACTATTAATGGAAGAATGGTAATATGCATACTTTCAGTCCTTTTGGGGATTGACCAGGTGACAGTCCATAATCTCCTTTTTGTCCCTAGAACAGAAAAAACATTATTCTTACTTATAAAGAAACTTTTCCCAGGACTGGGTTTGAGATGTATTCTAGACTGCACCAACGTTCTCTGCATACTTTCAGCATTGCCAAAGCATTCCACTTGACAAGGCGAAGGGGAGTCTGCATTTACACTATGAAAGAGTAATGAGTTCATCCTAGTTATTGGTGGGTCTAGCAGGAGTATTTACACTAACGTGCAGTCCATGTATGCCCTCCGGTGACTCGGTTTACTCCAAGCCAGAGAGAAGTGATGGGGAGTGATCGTGTACATTCTTCTCCCTTTTCGGGCAGTGGGAATCCTGTCAGTGCTTTCTGGGTCAGCTTTCAACACTGGTGAAAGAGCAGCCAAGAAATCTACCCAATTATAATGCAAGAGGTCCACGGAGAAATATATCATTTCCTGAGAGCTTATCATATAAAAAAAACAAGTACATGGAGAAACAGCAATGAGTTGGTTGAATCTGTTGAAGTATCCAACAACCATTTCATTTAGCAAATGTAAGTTTGGACAATGCAAAAACTAAAAATACAACTTATTTTCTTTTTGAATATTGGTTTCTATTCTTTTCCCAGCCTAAGTGCAAAAACAGTGGAAAGACATGCACTGCCTCAAAAGGAATGGGTTTTATTTGACTGGGTAACTGGTGAAATGACGATGACAAGTTCCCATTTACTGTATATCAGCTCTTTAAACCTACATGTTCGTGAGAGGTACAACTTGGCATTAAAAAGGCTTTGTGGGAATTTTCTGAGCCAAGAGTCCAACTCACGCCAAAAGCTACATACATACTGTGAACACTGCATTTTTCCCTGTCTAAAGGTTTACACCTCAACTACATCATGTGAAGAGTTCTAATTCAAAGTGAAGATCAATGAGGTAATTTCTTTTGAAAACTGAAAACCCTAATAAGTACTTTCCACTGAACACATGAGGCTACATCATTTCTTTTTTAAAGTCTACTTGTAGGTTTCTTTCAGCAGAAGGTAATGTATCATTATCGCGTCTCGATGTATCATCTTTACATCCAGATAAAGTAACATATTGAAAATAAAATTTAGCTATAATACAGCATGTTTTTATCTGGTTTGATCATATTTCTTAAACAGAGAATTGTGCCAGACCAGGCTGGCGCTGTTGGGGTTTGTGTGAAAAGGGGTCTAACTGAGCTGGGCCAAGTTTGGTAAGTAGCACGATATAAGAGTTGTATTTTTTTCCTTAGCAAAAGCATGCCAACGCATGGTATCAATTAGGTTGTTTTTAATGTATAAAGACAGTGTGGAAAATCCTGAAATGCAATGCATTAGAATGGATTAAGTGCAGGCCTGAAATATGAGCACTTTTTTTGTTTTATTCCAGCAAACATACAGACTCCTTTGTGGCTATACACTGGCATATTATGGAGCTAAGCAACCCTCTCTGTTGACAATTCAAATCAGCTGGAACACAGACTGATGTCAAGGACTTGCAAATGATTATGTTGAGAAGACTTTTAACTGCTGTTCTCTCTTTACGGGAAACAAATGGCTTTTTGAGAGGGCAGAGAAGGAGTACTATGAGCCAAGAGGGTCCGACATCAGACATCCAAAGTAAGTGAAATTACAAACAAACATTGGATGGAAAAAACACAAAACTACAAAAGAATAGTTAGTTGTAGGAAAGAAACTCTATCTGGAGGGATCTTTGGGATTGAAGTCTTTGCAGACCATTTAAAATGCACAACAAATCTATATACAGTAACACATTACAGGAAAGGGAAGACCCCAAAAAGCATAATAAGGCCCCCGTAGCTAAACTTACCTAAAAAGGCCCTAACAAGACTTTCTGATGGTATTAATTATGGGGAAATGCGATATATATATATATATACACTTTATGCAGTTAAGAAACAAAGACGTTATTTTTCTTTATGTCAGTTAATTGTAACTGAAAATACCCTACTTTTTTTAAATGATATAGTTTGTTCCTAAACATATTAAGAGGAGCTTAAGTTTCTTTCATCTTTTTTCAAATAGTTTTCATTTAACATGACATTATTGATTTTTACCTTCACTCCGGGAGGTCCAGGAAGACCAGGGTTTCCATGAGGGCCGGGAGGACCCTGAAAGCAGAGACACACATGATTGAGGAAGCCACTGAGTAAAGGTGATCATCGGGGTCATGGAACAGGCGGGTTGAGTTAGTGCTAAATGTGAGGTTTGCACAGATGTATGCACATATCGCTCCCTTTCCACTGCCTGTCTGTGTTATGGGACAGGTCAGCTGTGCCCCGGGGTCCCTCTGTGTTTGTGTATAGGTGCTCTGTGAGACATACTGCCTCTCCTCCTGCCTTGCCTGTCTGCCTGCTCCTCCAAGTTATGACATATGGATGTGATTTTCCTCATCTCTGCACTTTTCCACTGGTTTCTGGGGTCCCACAAAGTGAAGGCCCTTCATCCATCACACCATATTCCCAAATGGCTTTGCGCCACAAACTGTAGGAATCTTTAATATATAACCTGCTAACATATTATTCATTGAGCCATCTGTGCCAAATGCTTTATCAAAATTGACTGTTTACTGCGAGTCAGGCCAGGTGGGCGGATGTACGGGAGCGGTGAAGGAACAATAAATTGAAGCGAGAGAGGTTGTTTGGAAAAATAAAGCCACAACTTCCGGAGGCATCCAAGTGAAGAGGCCTCAGTTCAATTGCACACTTGTGTTGAGCGGAATTAAATGCTGAGCATGGAAAAATCTTTCCAAGCAAAACTGAAAGCAATGAAACATGTTCAGATGGCCTGAACAGGAAGCTAATGTAACTTCTGCCCGTTCTTTGAGTTTTTCAGAATTTCCATGGCTTGTGCAGAGAGACCGCATCCCCGGAGCTGGAGGTGAAAGCGAGGGATAGGATTACTCCGAGTCAAACAGATGGAGGAGGCCAAGAGGTGTAAGTGTACGGTTGGGTGATCCAGCATGTCTCTTGTTATTTATCAGCGCTAATTTATCAGACTGTGGAGACGAGTCAAACACACTGGGCAACTCCCCTCCCCTTCAAACTGTTCAGAGCTCTCCCCCTCGCAGGCGCTGGCTACTGGACATATGGAGCCACTTAACAGAAGCTCATCTACATATTTCCTCCTCTTTCTCTATTTAGAGCATTCCCCTTTAAACGTGCTCAATATTAAAGTATATGGGAGTCGTTATCTTTGGATAGGAAGCAAAAGGAGGCAGAGATAGGGAAAAAGGAAGGTCAGGGTATAATATCACAAATTGCATTCTTACCATGCATAAGGTGAGAAGGCGCATGCAGTGCTGATGACAGGGTGGGCGGCGGCATCGCAATGGAGACCAGAATAATGGGGAGAATGAGTCACTTTATCTATCAATCTTCAGAAAAATAACCAACACACATCAGTGCTAAAGTAAACCCAGGTCAGCATGCACCACACACACACACACACACACACGTACACACACACACACACACACACACACACACACACACACACACACACACACACACACACACACACACACACACACACACACACACACACACACACACACACACACCTGAGGTCTGCATATGAATGGCACATGTATGCCAGAGCTGTGGGCAGTTTTACAATGTGGGTGAATAACTTTAACAGGTGGAGTGCTACTGTTTTTACAGGCCTTTAACCCTGAACAAACCTGCTAACACCTTCACTACACTCACTGCATGGAATTAGAAATAGAAATAGGTATTTAGCCTCATAATTAGTCAATTGAATATACATTAAAGGATCTTAATTCCTGTTAAAACATATTTGGAAGCATTCTTGGTGCCAACTAAGTGCCAATGACTTCCCTTAACTTTTTCCAGAGTGTGTGGCCAGTAGTGCGACACAGGTTGCAACTATAGTTACTTTCATTTTTTCTTTTTTTTAACTATTAATTATATAATTGCCACAAAATGGTGAAAATTACATCAGTCCAAAACAGGAATGGGAATCAGGAATGTGTTCCGAATAGAGAACCAGTTCCTGGTTGTCCGATTCCTTGACAATGCGTGACCAATGATTTCTCTTATCTAATGCTTTCAGATAGTTGAAATGACGCAGCGCAATGCGGCCGCTGAATAATGTTTCTGTTTTTTCAGAGACCGGAGTCATGGCGGAGAGAAAAACTGCTTGTGATTGAATACCAAGGCACAC